CGGGTCTATCACATAGCCAGTCTTTGGTAACGGAGCTACTGGTATCAGATGACAGAGATGATGAACAAGTTCCCGTACCAGAAGGTGTCAAGCGCCAGCTTGAGACTTGCACAGGGGAGCGTATGCGAGCCATCGGCTACTGGCAAAAGACTTTACTCCGTCACCTACTCCTCGGTTTGGAGTGCGATCTTGAGTGGGATAAACTGCCAAAGGACGTCCGGTCTTTCCTCCTGAAAAGATGCTGCGGGCAGTCCTGCTCCCTCTCTTCCACTCAAATGGACTGGATCCGGTCAAGATTTTCCGCCGACGAGTCTCTGGGTATCGAAGAATTCATTTCACGATGCAACCTTGGCGCTGGATTAGCAGTTTCTGTGACCTCGTTTACTGAAACACTGCCGCCGAACCAAAATCTCCAGCATGCCTTCCCGGATTCATGGTCCGTGGGTGCTCAACTGCCAGCAAACCCGAACTTGTCAGCCCTAGGATTTATTGGAACAATCCAGCTTGCACTGTCTCGGCTCCATGAGAAAATCAAAACATGCATCAAGTTCACCGTGATCTCTCTCGTTGCGGATCCGGAATACCAGAGGGAGCTGAACTACATCACCCGTGGACTACCTTTGATTTTTGCCTGGCCGGCGACCTTGGTTCTCAATACGGTCTGGATAATCTGTAAAACCCTTCAGCGGTTTATTCTTCCCGTGGTTTTGGTATGTATTGCTTAGCTCGCGGTTATGATTAAGCTAACAAGGTTGAATAGCTACACGGTCGTGAGAAGGTCTCCACACTTTATAAGAATATGAAGGGAAGAAAGGCGGTCATTGAGAACAACCGCGTCATCACGGAGAGCCTTAACGGCCCTTCGACAGGTTTCTTTGAGACTATGCCGGACGGTACCTTGCGACTCTACCAATACTCCGGGCGACATGAGGAGAGACCAAGCGACAATAAACACTTGACAGCCATTAACACATACAAGGACACGCTCAATCTCCAGAAGAGGGAGGAATATAGTAATGGGACACTTACCAACGAGTTTATCTACGATTATACGTCGGTCAATGATGGTCGAAACGCAAAACTGCCATCAAGACGTCAATGCGTCAGTGGCGTTCTCAGCGGACAAGTCGTCCAGTACGATAAAAGAGGCCACATCATGTCCGGTTCGACCATGCGAAATGGAGATCCAGTGTCGTTTGAATTTTCGTACCGGAAGCATGCCAAGTTTGATGATGAATTACTGCGAGCCGAGTTCGTGTCCGGGCATAACAAAATCCAAGTTGCCTGGTGCATGCCGCCTCGCGCTCGTCCGGAAAAGTTGAACAAATGGATCCCTTATCCCCGTGTCACGGAGGCCACATTCACGAAGGAATCAGACGTTTATAATGCGAAATGGACATACGATCACAAGTTCCATCCCATCATTTCCACCACTCTTAACGGCGAGCCTTCGCCAACTCCGCCCATGATACAAGATGACTGGTACAATGTTTTGCAGAAGCCGAAGAACTGCAGCTTCCTGGATGACAATCCGCTCTTCTCTTTCTCTTCCATCAAGGCTGGGTTCGTCTCGCGGATGTTTGGTTTTAATGTCAAGCGGTATCCCATTCCCACATCGCTCGCCAGAGAGCATCTATGGAAATCTTGGAAAAGCGGAAAGGAATTCGATGCGGCTACCACGAGATGGATGGATGAACTTCTCTTGAGGTCGGATCGGGTGCTTAACCCTTACTGGAGAAACAGAGATTTCGGCAGACTTGATGCAGCTGGAAAGTACCTCGACGCCTTAGGAGACACAGTGCTTGCGAGAGTTGATATGAACCCGGAAGTCAGCTCCTGGACCTGGCTCGCTTTCAAGATGAGCGACTTGTATAGTTTCGGACAGGGTGGTGATGCGCGAATCAACACGAGAACCCTCTCTACGCAGCTACAGGATAGCGACCGCCAGCTCCATGTTCTCGCGCTGGATACAGCGACTTGGCCTAACGAACCCGGTGGTGTCTCGGCTTGCCGACGAGATTTGGTCAACAACCTCAAGAGTACTAGATGGCATATCCTTGCTGAAGCCGCTACCGATTTCGGTGTCCCCCGGTTTCAGATTGAGAGAAATGTGCAATCGCTTGCAGTCGTGCCTCAGTGGGGTCTGGACTTCCTCAACCCTACTCATGGGGTTTTCCAGAGCTCGCTCGATTCGGAGGTTGCGGAACGGTCATTCGACACGCGGAAGAGTGATATTGAACAGAACTTCATTCCTATTCTTACCAGTCTAGTCCGCTGCGCTCGTACAACCCAACACACCCGCCGGCATATAGAAGAAGCTACGAAAGCTTTGGTTGATTTGAACACCTACTTCGAGTCTTCCCGGAACTGGAACGATGTCTGGATGAGTGATGTGGTTAAGGATGCCTGGAGAAACCTCTGGTTGGCCGACGATATCGATGGTATCATGCCCATTTCACAATGGAGAACTGCCGAACATCCGACGTTGGTGCAACTCGACACCGCATTGGATATGTGGCATCGCTGTAAGTCCTTTTTCTTCGATGTCTTTGCCTGGATACATGTACTGACCAAGTCTCGTAGATCTGTTTGTCTTCTCCGTTCCCGTCCCCGAAAAGATTCCCGATATTTTCCAAGCGTCGCACCATTTCACAGGCGCCACGTATGGTGTCCTCTGTAAGGTCAAGCGGAAGTGTGCACTGCATGTGTGGGATCATTCCATCAGCTTGAGAGAGATGGTCACGTTCTTGTCTGGCGCTATCTCTTTCGACTCGTCCTTTGTCAACACCACCCTCATCCATCTGGGCCGTCTGTCCTGCGTCCTGGCTGAACATCATGCGGACGTGGTCTTACCATGCGCCGCGTTTTTCAACCCCGGCTGGGAGGCGGAATTGGGAACTTGTGAAGGTGCCCTGCAGCACCGTCGGGCATTCCAGCGAAAGATCGACCCGGTGGTCAACGGAATCACGGATATGGAGAAATACAAACCCATCGAAACCATCAAGACCGAAACGCCTACCGTGGTCATGTTGTCCCATATCCGGTACGTTCTAATCCAATGAGTGAAAGTATCTCAATTCAGTGTGCTAATATCCGCGATAGATATGTGAAGGATATCAAAACTGCCGTCATGGCCACCGATGTGATTGTCAACAGATGGGGCTTCAAGGACTATCGACTCCACATTTACGGCGACATGGAAAAGACCCCTGGCTACTCCTCGGAATGTCAAGAGATCATCGCGTCCAAGGGGCTTCGCGATCACGTGGTTCTCAAGGGTCTGGGTAACCCATCTGTGGTGCTCCAGGATGCTGTAAGTTCCCTTGACCCTAATTGAAAAGGATGTCAATGTACTAACGTTCTCCCTAGTGGCTTTTCATGAATTCTTCGATTTCCGAAGGTCTACCATTGGCTATGGGAGAGGCTGCATTGACAGGCGTACCCGTTGTCTGCACCGACGTTGGCGCGTCATTCTGCGTTGTCACCGACAGCAAAACCGGAAAGCGGTTCAGCGAAGTCGTCGCGCCCAATGACGCTCTGTCTCTCGCTCAAGCGCAAATCCGAATCCTCGCGTTAGTGGATGAATGGGCCCCGTTCGCCGAGGACGAGGAGGGCTATCAGCCGCCGAAGCTGTCGTTGCGCCCCAGTCCCGAAGAGGTGGAGCAGATCACGAAACGGATGTACGCTAAAACTGAACAGCGACGTCGGCTGGGTATGCGCGGGCGTGATAACGTGCTCAACAATTTCTCAGAGCATCGGTATCTCCGGGAGCATGAACAGATGCTCTGGATTGGCAAGTACCAAAGCCGCAGCTTCATTGCTCGGGAGCGGATGGCCTCTTCGAACAGCTCCTTGGGCTTCACCAAGGAGAGGATACATTCGTCGCAGCCGTCTCGAACGTGGTGGGGAAGGTTACGACGTGGACCGGGCCCACTCAGCTCTGCTGACTCGAGCTCGGAGTCCGTTTGATATGATTGTAGATATTTCTGGTTTTTTAAAGTTGACGAGGGATGTTTATAGACATAGATTATTAGTACATATTGTTAATATTAATGATAATGGCATATACAACACCTTTTTTTTTTTCATCTTACTATGTTCCCATATTAATCTCCTTATGAGAACATACACTAAGATCGCTATCTCTCCATGGAGAAGGAAATGTAAGCGAGAGGGATAGATGGGTAACATAAACAGCCAAATAGCAAATGTACTTCCATCTTTATCTACCTATTCAGAAAAAAATAAGCTTATTTAGGGCTTACATTCCCTCCTCCCTGTCAGAACATCAACTTACCCTAGATGATATATGTACTCGACCAGACTACAAACATACACATAAACCCCGTATCTAAGGAGCCAAAAGACATTATCTTTCTATAAGATACGGCTATAACGAGAGAGAGTAATTTAGTAAAAGGAAATGAAATGAATAGCCAATCATGGTGGCTTCGAGTGTTAGCTTGCTAGCAAGGTTCAAGTTAATTGAGGTTAACCCGTTACTCGTAACTTAAAAGTAAATTGTCATGCGCATTTTAGGTCATAGATATTTCTAGATTTTTCACTGCTTGGGTAGTAAGTATGGAGGGGGATTGGATGAGGGGATTATTTCGGAGATTAGGTCCTGATGACGGGTTGTTATGGGTTCTTTGCTGGTTTCGGATTTCTTTGTTCTTGGTCTTCTTCTTTTTAATATTTTTTTTTTGAGAGCTGTGAGGTGGTGCGGTAATACGCTGATTTTGCCTTACAGACGACGAGGTAGAGGGATTGTGGGACAGCAGTTGAAGATACTGGTTCATCATACTCCCTAGTAGTGGAAGAGCAGTTGCGCTGCGCTGCACTGCAGTGATATAGACCATTCACCCTTAGCAAAAGATCAAATCTTCTGATTGAACGTATTATGACGCATGTTTCTGGTAGATCCACAAGAACACCATTCCCCGCTTTTCTGGCTATATGAACCTTCCCTACTCCTTAGTATATGTAAACACGATTATTTATACTCCTACATGGATGCGATTTCGATAGTATGCCGGACTATCATTCCCATCATCACTCTTTAGTCCACAGGACTTGGGTATCTAACTGGTACTGAACGATGGCTACTGGGTCCAAATATCCCCGAAGGGGCTGCGCGATCGGTTAGGATTTGGACACGTCCGCAATGATTTTGTATGTAGCGGCGTGGATGCTTAAAGGTCGGGTACGTGGGTATACCGCTCCCACGATTTGATGATTGGGCCCATACTGCGGGTAAATCCCTTCGGACAGCTCGGTGAAATGCGCCTGCGGTCGGGCCTCGTGCAGCATGTCGAGAATCCGCTCGCTCCAGAGACCCGAGCATTCATCGTCAATGAGCTGGAAGTACGGGTTGAGAGGGGGGCAGGCCGAGTCCAAATCGATGAACCGAATCCGCATGTAATTCAACACTTGATGGATATTGAGACTATGTACCGCACCGGTGATCAATCGCTCGAACGCCCGGATAAAGTGGAGATTGGTGATCCGCGAAAAGTCATCCAGGAATGGCAGTCCGGAGTGGGTTCGCTTGTCGCGGCAGCAATTCTTGACCACCAGGTCTAGCGATCTCAATTTCGAAGATTTGGGTGGCCAGGCCGATAAAGAATTTCGCGTGGGCTGGAACAGACACGCACAGACCTTGCCCGTAAATGCGAGGGACTCCAGGTGCGGTATGACATCTCCGAGCAAGCGACATAGATGAGGGGGGTTGACTCCGTCGCCCAGCCAGCTGGTCTGCGTGCTGTCCTTGCTGTAGAATCCTTCCAGGCTAATATTAAGGTGTACAATGGACGGTGACAGTCGTCGTAGAATTTCTGCAATGGTATGATACCCTTCAACCTTCGGTTTTGCGTACGCACAATGCCACTCTTGCAAACCCGGCAACGCTTCTGACAAATTGCGCCAATGTCGGTGGTCGCGCATAATGTTCCAAGCTCCGCGCATTACAAACGAGCGAATTTCCGGCAGCGTCGGCAGCCGCTGGCCAGAGAATCCACACGGATCGTTCCTGAAGTGGCGTACCATCGGTGGCTTTTTGCAGTGGCCTCCTTCGAGGGTCAGAATGCGTGCCTCGGGAAAGCACGATTGGACGTGATAAAAGATCTCCTCTAACGTGGCATTATGACTGGCGTAGTGGTACTTGTAGTCGTTTCCATGGTTGGTGTCGGAATCGTCCCATACCATGGTCGTGTGCGCGGCGGATCCATCCACATCTTCATCATCATATCGCCGGGCGGGGATTTGAGAGGAGTTATTCTTGATGGCTCGCTTACCCCATACCGGGATCCATATCTCGACATGGCGGACATAGCTGGCTAGATGGGGATACGCCCGAAACCAACGTGCCGATTCGGTCAACTCCTCAGTCGTGCCTTTAATTTTGACTAGTCACGGTCAGACAGTTTCTCCGAACAACGACATCATCATCAACTCACTATGTCTGTAGATCCGATCTTGCACTAGCGACCTCCACACTGGCGAGATTAACGCTAGATTCGACAAAACCTTCCGTCGCGGGTGACGGAGAGATTTATTCCAGCTTCGACCGGGTGATTTTCCCGGTCCGGTCGTTGTGAAAGCTGCCGCTCGTTCGCCGAAGAGGTAGTCAAGGATGGCTTCGTGGATTTCGACAGGGAGGTTTTGAAACTGCAGCTCGGGCCGGAGGGGACGTGGTGCATCCACAATGGTCTCCACATCTTCCATATCGGTATCCACAGGGGACTGGCAGGCCAGCTGGCCAGGCACTGCGGGAGGGGCGATGGGGCCATCGGGCAGCTGGAACTCTGCGCTAGTACTTCGCGTTGATTTGGCATATGGAATAGATGACGAGACCGAAGCTCTCGCCAGGGAATTTACAGAAACTGGACGTGGGGGAGGAATGGCGGAAATCATGAGGGGCGACGAGGGCGGCAGGACGACCAACTCGGACGGCATCGAGTAACCGGGGGGGGGGGGAAGGAAGGCCGATAACGCCAAACAGTAGGAATCAAATGATCGTCAAATCGTGAGTGTAAGGGATACTTAAAACCGCAGAAAAAACCAAAAATGACCTCAGTGTCAGCATAGACTTAATTTAGAATCAATGTTGGGTCGTACAGAATGTAAAGAAGGGGGAAAAATATGGGAAGGAAAAAGCACGCAGGAAAAGAGAGCCTGAGACATACTGCAGGTCAGAGAAGCAACCAGTGGGTGAAATTGCGGTGATTAGAGATTCAGTATGCGATAAAATAGGTTCAAGTATGGATGGTTTGGACTGCAAGCGAATGACGACCCGACCAAGTTTACGAGCAGCCAGCGTGGTCCATGACGGACAGGCGAGGGGGAAGATGCGTGTCTAATTGTCAGTCGTCGCGCAGGAAAGAGGGGGGAGAAGAAGTCAAAAGATCGATGCAAATCAGGCCGTTAGGCAGCTCCCCAGGTGATGTGATGACGATGGTGTGTGTATAACCAGATAAGAATAATAAATAATAAATCAATAATGTTGGAAGTGGAGACCACCGTCAATCAAAACGATCGCATCCAGAGCGGAGAAGAGGAAGGGAGGGAATTAATTTCGTTTTTTGGATTTCTTCCCCAGTGAGTGAATGATCCTTGGTAAATTAGAAATAGCAGAACGACGACGACAAGAGAAGAAAGAGAAAAGCAACGGAGGGACCGCGTAAGAAATGAAACCACAGGGGATTCGATGTAAATTTATTGGCAACGCAATTTAACTTCTAGTTGCTTTTTTTTTTTTTTTTTTTTTTCTTTTCCTTTCCAGGTTTTTTTACTTCTTTTGGTTTTTCATCTGTTCAGGTGGACAATTATTGAGACAGACGGAAGTTTTAAAAGTTACCGTATTGTGATACTGCCAATACCACTTAAGGTTTGTCAAAAAACCACCAGTCAAAAAGAAAAGGGACTAATCGGATGTTATTCCAGTTTCATGACGATCATGCCATGTTGATAGCAGAAACTACTAGTAGATACGATGTAGAATGCTATGAGCGGGATTTCCCTGTTTCGTACCAATTTGCGTTCATATCCCAGTCGGCTCTACTCTTTATCGGTGGACTGCTCATATTTTGGGTTTAACGAGGCTGATTTCCAGGACGATCCTCGTCATCCAATGAGAGCGTCAGTCCAGCTGACTGACCTGGTGATTCTGTATCTATCGAAGTGTATCGTAATCGTAATCTTTCTTAATAATAAACTTCCTCTCCGCTGCAAATTTCGATCCATGCCCGATGAAGCAATCAAGGGCTTCATATTATTCACTGTTATTTACATCCCTCACCGAGCTGAAGCCAGGATTGAATACGAAATTTTTTTTCTTCTTTCTTAGAAGAAGAAAGATATTAAATATCAGAAATCAATTCTCTTTTTATAGAATAAGGGGCGTAAATTAGAGGTTCGAATTACCCTCCCTCGCCGAACAAATAAGCTTCTTCAAGAATCGAGATGCTTTAAGTATGAGGACCCACAAAGATATATATCTGTTCCCCATACGATCCAAACTAGGACATCATCTTGTACTAGTCCTTATTGAGATGATTGAACCACTCGAGTCGTGTATTTGAGATAACGTTTGCGTATATTCTTCTAGATAATTGATCAATCCCTCGTACCGGGCGTGGATGTTTGTATATGGAGGGCCTCAATGTTCTTCTCTATTTCCGTAACAAATGAGTTGAAATGACCGCTAAAGCTAGCAATTCTATTGAACCACAGCACTGCCAAAACATGAGAAAAAAAAGATAACAGCAAATATACAAGTTCCTAAATAAATCAGGACACTAACGCAAGTTCTATATACAAGTCTAATAGGCAGTCTATCATGAAATCTATGATCTCGTCTCATTACCATCCTCCACATGTTCCTCTTCGCTCTTATCAAAGTTTCCCTCCTTGATCTCGAAGCGGAATCGCTCTTCCTCCTCCTTCATCTGAGCCTTGACCTTCTCATTGGCCCGCCACACCGGCTTAACCTCGAAGAGGCGGTCCACAACTTCTAGCGGGATACCGCTGGTCTCGGGAATGAGGAAGAAGGCGAAGAAGAAGGCGAGGAAAGATAAGGAAGCGAAGAAGAAGTACACTCCATAGCCCATCGCGGCGAACATTTGCTCCGTAAAGCGGGAAACAAGGAAGTTGAACAGCCAATTGCTGGCGGTGGTTGCGGCCTGGGCCAGGGAACGGATGTTGGGATCGAAGAATTCCTAGTTATTGTTTATCAGTGACGGTCCTTATAGACAAGTGGGCCAGGGGGAAGAAACCTACCGAGTTGATAACCCAGGGTGTGCCGTTCCATGTAGGCGTGTAGATCGCTGTCCACAGGTAGAAGAAGAAGATGGCTGCAATACCACCACCGTTCAAGTGGTCGGTGGGATGTTGCTCAGGCTCGACAACATAGATGTAAGCACCGATAACCCACATACAGATGGAACCCATAATTGCACCGATCAGGAGAAGCTTCCGTCTTCCCAACTGGTCAACCAGGAACAGAAGCCACACGAATGTCATAACGGCTTTCACCACACCAAACAAACCCGTGGTTATTCCGATCGTATTGCTATTGACACCGATACTTTTGAAGATGGTTGGACTGTAATAGTTGATCGCGTTAATGCCGGATCCATTCTGCCAGAAGAATAACATGCAGCCCAGGAAAAGACGCCACAAGATCTTTGGGCGTGTGCCAACGGACTGGAATGGCTTCCAGAATCCAATACCAATGGTGGCTGCCTGCTCTTCAAGCGCTTGGTCGATAGCTGCCACCTCTTCAGTGATATAAATATCGGTCTCGCTCAACTGACGAATCCAGCAGAGATTTGCCATTGCCTCCTGTCGGCGGTCCTTGAGGAAGAGCCACCGAGGGGATTCCTTTGTCCATAAGGCACCAGCAAAAAGCAGCCCAGACGGGATCAGCTGAACGGCAAATGGGATTAACCATTGAGTATGGCCAGGTTCCATGTTTTTTTGGACACCGTACTAAGCCGGGTTAAAGTTAGCATTGTGTACATGGCTCCGAGCAAAAAGAGGAAAGGAGTAAGAGGCAGAGTGCCAATGAAAAAGCGTAAAGACTACTTACGTTGATCCAAAATCCCACCATACCACCAATCTGCCAGCCAAGTTCATAGAGACCGACAAGTCGCCCACGGATGGCCGGAGGTGCCAGTTCCGAGAGATAGATTGGGACGATGTTCGAGGCGACACCGGTACCGAGTCCATTCAGGACACGTCCAGCATACATGATTCCAAGTCCGCGGGAGTGGTTGGCACCCAGCTGGAGACCGGCTCCTAACGTGAAGATGGCTGAAGCGATCACCAAGCTCCATTTGCGTCCGAGGAAATGGCCAACAGGGTAGGTAAAGAGGGCCCCAAAGAAGGCACCGGCAATGAACAGCGAGACAATATTCTCGCTGATTAAGTCCACTTGCGCAGATGACATTTTGTCCAAGCCAAATTCCTCTTTAAAGGAGTCCAGTGTGATGGTTGTACCAATAAAGGCACTCGTATAACCAATCATATTGGAACCACATGATGCAATGGCTGCGAGCAAGTACACTCGCCAGTTGTAGACATTCTTAGGAGTAGGACGATCCTCAACGACGTTAAGAATGCCCATCGCGATGGACAGAGGGTCGAAGAATCAAATGAAGTAAAGGAGGTGACAGAGAAGATTCTTCGACACAGGGCGACCTAGGATGAACAAGAGGGAGGTGGTTTTGAGCACAACAAAAGTGAGACCTGGGTTTCGGGCCTGGAGAGCATCTTAAAAACTAAATAGATGTGGATGGACTCTTCATTCGAACTATCTCCACAAGTTCCGTCAAGGTCCGCCCCAGACTGGGGCGCCATGGGGTTGCATCAAAGAGCTGCGATACGTCGAGAACTACGATGGACGCTTTCTCTCTGCAAAAATTTGCTTTGCCACGGTCCCCGGTGAGTGGGAACGTGGGCCGGGGAAGCGTTTTCCCCAGACTGTTTTGCCTCTTAGCCGCGAAGAAATGTTCAACCGCAGCGATCAAGCTTATATTCTCTACATAGAAGCGACGTGTGACCTTCTAGCTGATCCACATTTTCCCACAATTTTTCCCAATAGGTGGCCTTAGACGAAGTCGTCGTCAGTGTGGGAGGTCGGCCGTCACAGCATTGGACGCGACTATTCCGAGCTAGAGTCCCTAATTCATTCATCCACCATGGTGAGGGCTTTCCCGGTGAACCACCCATCTTCACCGCTTAGAGCATTTTACAGGGGTAGCTTCGGCTTGGCGGGGGCGAGAGCGCAGCCCAAAAGTTGAGAAAGATTTCCTTGGTAAGCGAATATCCCGGGATCGCTTATCCGGGATTTTGTTGAGTGGACGTCAACCCGATGCCGGGGGAGAGCGCTTAACCCCACTGTAGGTCGGAACCTTGCCGAGATGCCGTTGATCTCGGTGCTTTAAAAGCTCGACTACACCGTACACCGGTGTATTAAAAGGGATGAAGAACTCATCCATGGGATTCTGTTTACCCCAGAATCCAATACCCGCGGCGATAGGCGTATATGCATGGAGCAGGGTATAAGCCGAGTAATGTATAGGATCCCATGCATAAACTCCGTAAGAGAGAGACCAAGAGTACTAAAAGCTTTTGCCAACCTTGGGCAAGAATGGACAAGAGTTAACACTAAACTGTATCGGGTCTCGGCAAAGGTCACGCGACGGAATCAATGACTCGTTCTCCTTTTCGGATATGACACCCGGAAAGCCCTAACTGGTCTACCATATATCTTAATTTATTATGCAAAAAAAACCTCCCTTATTCAACAATCATCCGATGTGGTGTAATGGCTAACATCGCTGTCTCTCACACAGCAGCTCGGGGTTCGATTCCCCGCATCGGAATTATCTTTTTTCTATTCATTTTTCATTTCTATTGCTTTACTTAGTTTTTTTGCCTACCATTAACTAGACTTGGTGTGGTGTGTGCGAAAGTCCCATGATGTTAACGAGCAAGGAAAGTCTGCACTACGGAATGCATTAAACCCCTTCCTTTGCATATCACCTTATTTTCATCTTGCTCGCGAATATTAGATCTTGCCATGGACGGCCCGTCGGTTACCCAGTCCAGTGGTCCCGAGAAGAGCGATGATTCGTGAAATATGCATGTTGATGGAGATAGATGAGGCGCACCCATTTGGGCATTTTTGGACAGACAAGATGCGAGACTGTGTTGCGTGTAGCGTACTTAATTACAACTTAAGATTGATTCTAGCTACCTGCACACTACGCTATTCTCGAAATTGTAGCTAAGAAAATAGTTTTCTCTTTCCTCTTGCCGGACGCAGACGGAGAGAGCCAGTATATATATCCCTTTGAGACATTACGCCATCTCTGTTATACGACTGTCGCTAAACAAAGACCTTGACGATATGGCTGCTTTAGGGTGTTCATATATTGTTGAACTGCCCAGCTACAATAGTGAGAGCTGAGACACCTTGCAGGAAACAAGGGCTTGGTAAGGTATACATAAAAGTCGCTCATAGTCAATACGTAGTGGTTCATATCAGATCAAAAGAGTCAATTATTCTAGTAGAATTAAAACCCCCTCACTCAAGGAAAAGGATATCAGGAAGATTGGGGGTGGGGGACTCGAGGCCCCAACAGGCTCCCTCCTTAATCCCACATTCCCCTTACTTTACACCACCAACCAATCGATAACAGGGTGTAAACAACAACCCTAGCTAGGGCACTGGACAAACCGAACTGGAAGTTTGGGAACATTGTCATTCATGGGATGTCTTAGGACTCCTTCTGCTCCCTTGCCATGTAGGCGCCGGTCAAGATGACAATAATGTGACCGGCGCTTAGGAAATCCACAGCCAGTCTCTACCTATGATAAAAATAAACAAACATTTACAGAAATAAACATCAATGATCGCTTATAAGATAAGTTTAACACTAACAAAACTCAATCTACAAAAGGCTAAAGTAAATCAAATTAAGCGCAGCCCTAGCGACATTTTCTTCTTTCGGCTCGGGCATTCTACTTGAATCTGATAGGTACAGGCATAAGGTTCCCCATACCCGGAGTTCTTTTCCACATACGCACTAAGAATTTAACAAAGTTACTTCGTACTTCAACCTGTGCTACGGTGCATTACTGACTGGGCCCCATTGTCAGGATATAGAACCCTCGCGCATGAGCTCGGGACCCCACCTTATGTGGCGACTTATTTATTCCCTATGATGGGATGACTGTTGGGAAAAAAACAATCGATCAACCAATCCCTTCTGTGGATCGTATTTCGTTGTCCTCTCTACGATGTGGGCTTCGCTTAGAAGAGAAGGAGGAAGCACGTAAACAAGGAACGGATGGTCTCTGGAATGTACGAATCAATGAGCCACCTACCCTCAGTAAACAAAGCCTCACAGGTCTGTAAGACATGCACCGAAAGAAAAAGAGTCAGGAACATGGTTTGGAATTGGCATGCTTGTCATGCCGTCACCATGCTGGGAGCACCGAGAGAACTACGAAGCCAAGTGGAACGCATATCTCAGAGAAACGCGGCCGAATCGATCAATTTGTGGAGCACACTGGCTAAGAAAGACAACTGACACTTGCGCTCATCGATCATCGTATCCTTGATGTTCTGGCGGCTTTTGAATACAATTTCAATGGTGATGTAGGGAAATCGAGGCCGTGTTTCGTGGTATCTGGACTGAATGTAGATTGCACCCAAGTGGTTGACATCATATTGCGTGCAGAAGTTTAGACCATGGAGTTGCCTGTGCAACTGTCATGCAAAAGATATCTTGCAGCCGCTGGGGCTGCCTGAAGGGCTGAGGTAGCGTGCATGGAGGAGAATGAGGAGATTGGGCAATCCTTACTACGGGAAGCTGATTGGACGTCTCGTGTCCGCGTTCGATTTCGTCCAGGGCTTTTTGCTGTTGAAAGTTCATACAAACTCTCGGCTGGTGGCGATATCAGGAAACTCAATCTCATCTAAAGTTCAATTTGTGGCTTTTACCACCCAGAAAACCGTTATGTAGGATTGACTAGCGTTTACATATGCTTAAGCGAAGTTTCACTCGCCACATTGCTTGCGTATACTTCAGTCGTCCCGCTGTGGCTGATTCATGGGCAGCTCGGATTTAAGATGCGCCTGGCACGCATGATTTATCTCTGAGACGCGTCGAGTCATGCATGTATGTTACACCACACATGGAATCGCAGTAGCATTTGCGATTTGTGCTGCACAAATTTCCCTCATTATAGAGAGTTGGACAAGATACCACGGCGGAGAATCTCAAGATGCTATGTGCAAATCGGGTAAGAGACCACTGTTGAGGAAGGGGGGCTAAGGATTCAATCATGTCTCAGGGAAGAAATCCCCGAACCCGACGACCTTCTCCCCCAGTGCTGCGGACGGCCCCACTCACTTTAGTCCACGACTGTGTTCGTGTCTCTCCCTTTCCCCGGCAGGCAACAAAGTACTGAGATCGCCATTGCAGCCTCAGACGGATCCCGGGGCTGTCGATAGAAAGCGCAGCGTGAGAGCAGATACTAATGTCATTTTCTCCTCGAAAAGGCTAGCCCGAGTAAGAAGGAAGGCCTAAGCGCCAGCAACATATTTGCTGCGGTATGCTACCGTACAATTTCCAGGTTTTGCTTTCATTACCGTTGTATATCCGTGAAAATGACCTTGCCAACCCACGATTTACTGAGGCTAAGAATGCAGATCTTTCCTAGCTCATATTATGCATGAACGAGTGTGCAATGAACTTATTGCTCCTGTAGAATCTGAAAGGTCCGTGTCGCGAACATATTCCGGGAATCGTGTCCAGCTAATGAGAGTGACCACTGCATGTAATCTTTCCACAACACTCGATCACTCCATTGTTATTAGTTTGGGGCTGCCGATTAGCTAATCTAGGTATGCTTGTACCACCTGCATGTGAGGGTGACGGTGAGAAGGCTGTGCCTTAGCTGCGTTGCAGTAAAAATCGATAAGAACCTAAATTGGAACCTAAATTCATGAAGCGCACAAGCGAGCACGAGCGATGGGTGAACCCAACCAGTATTGTTGGCCCCATATATTCAAGCACAGGTTATATTTGTACTGCAAAATGCGACTTCTCAGTCTCGATCAAATGCAGTACTCGCAATATGTCTTCACTTGATGACGACCCAATTGTGGAAGATATTTTCGTTCCGCAATCTCTTCTAAATGCAGTATCAAGAAGGGAGGACACGGCTGAAGGGACCCATAGGGCCACTTCTCCTTGTTACCATCCTAGCAGCCAAGCTGAGGAGATTCACATTCAGAAGAGAAACCAGCGTACAATAAGTTGGGCAACTAAGGTATCGGACAAACGGGAAGCTCCACAGCGCGCAGCAAGTTATTCATCGGCTTTGGAGGAGGGAAGGAAGCAGTTGCATCAGGACCAAGGTCCAAGTGTTCCTCCACATGTTCGGGGTATAACTTCTAGTCTTAACCTCAACTCGAGTGATTCAATAAATCCTCCGCAGTTTCTGGAACATGATCCCTTTTCAGACAGCAGTGTACGAGAGCCACTGATAGGACAAAACAGCCGGTCGCCTTTGCCCATACCGCGACCGGGCAATGTCACTAGAATGACACTGGGTGACAGCGTGAGGAGCGTGTACAACAGGGCAAACCTCGTCAAAATTAAACACCAACGCAAGTATTGGATCCGGCTGTTGATCGAATATGTGGCATATACCATCGGTGTTGTTTTTGTATACTTCGTTCTGGTCGGATTGCCCTTGTGGAAAGGTGCTGTATACTGGCTCTATTGGGTGATGCAACATAAGTTTGTATTCTCCGGTGGCTGGGCGATCTTTATTTTTCTGCTTATATTGTAAGTTGCCCCTCTCTTGGAAAGACAGCGGGATTCCTCGAATACAGTATTGTGGTCGCGCGGCTCATGAAGGTTTCTCATCACAGCTATTCGTTTGCGCCGCTTCTTATCACCTTTGAGAATGACTTCCCAGGGCCAGATTATTACCAACAACGCCGTATTGGTCCAACTGCGCCAAACACTGCTCTTCTGATCCCATGCTATAGGGCTGGCCCCATCATTGGTCGGACTCTCGAGGCTGCGTTGAAAATATTTCCAGCGTCACAGATCTATGTGATCGCCAATGGTGACTCGCCCACTCCTATAGACGATACCGAGGAGGTATGCCGAGTCCACGGCGTCAATCATATCTGGTGTCCCGTTGGCTCCAAAATAGTTGCGATTTTCATCGGCTGTCATGCAGTCAAATCCTTTCGCCACGTCCTGCTCATCGATGATGATTGCATCCTACCCCCGCATTTCCCTGTGGCCGTTTCTCGGTTAAACCAGCAAGTCCGCTGCATTGGGTACACAATCAAATCCGTTGGCTCCAACTCTCGACTGGGCTCATATTGTCAACAGGCACAGGACCTCGAATACAAATTAGCTGGCCTACAGCGCAGTTTCGCCGGACGCATTGGCAGCGCGACCTTTCCCCATGGAGCTATATCCTTATGGGAACGAGCGTTCTTGAAGGAGACTCTCCAGCACCATCCAGGTTTCTCCATTAGTGAGGATTGGTTCATGGGAAACAGTTGCCGGCGGCTTGGAGGAAGGATTCAAATATGCAGTGCTGTCTTTGTCGAGACTACAACACCGGCTGCTCTCTTCTTCGTTGATCGGGGCTCAAGAAGAGGCGGCTTCGGCGAAACAACCGTTTTCAAGCAGAGATTTCTGCGGTGGAATTTCTTTGTGGCAAATGGGATATGGTATAATCTATTGTACCTTGTTGGGTCTTGGAGGTTGGGTAAGTGGGAATTCGGCGCGAAGCTCTTCGTTATTCAGGAGGTATGTAGCTACCTGCTCATGAAGCAAGGTCCTGCATATTCCAGTGGCTAACCTAGAGTGTTGAGCAGGTCTATGAGACCCTGCTGTATGTGTTCACTCCGTTCATATTTCCCATTGCGTTCATTGTCCGTCCCGTGTTCTGTGTTGCCATCTTGGGTGCAACTCTGGCTTTGTACTTGATCAATGTCATCATCTTCAACGCGATTCATCTGCGTCAGAAGGACGAACGGGTCGGTTGGAACGTTGTTCTCTGGTACTATGTAGGTCATACAATGTTCCCTGCTGCACCGGACTTCGCACACATCAATCCTGACGCATTGCAGATGCCTTACAAGATCTTCATCACTCTTACAAACGTTGCCAGTTGTTATTGGTCACTGTTCAAATATGCACGGTATTTTGCAAAGCGACACCCCAAACTCACCGAAGACCACAAAGCTGTTGGGATGGTGCTGAGGTTGGAGGAGATGGCAGAGAGTCGCCGACGACGCGGCAAATTAGGCAGGAGGATGACTGTCAGGTCTCTTGGTGTACAGAAGAAAGATGGTAGCATCGCTGAAAGTCAAGCTTTTTCTGCGCTGGGCAGTTACTCTTGACCAGGTAGGCTAAATATAGGAATGTTTCCAAATTATTGATACTTGCTGCAACCTATCGCGTGCTTGGAGAAAGCTGCTTAGAATGTGACCCAGCTTCGCGACATAGGGTATCCTTTCTGATTCGTATTCCTCCGAGAACGCAGACAAGAAAACAAAAGGGAAAGACCCAGGATCGCCGCAAGACATTAGCAATGATGTTTGACTGAGAGATACGCTTCCGAAGTTACACACGGAAACTGGAAAACACCAAGGGGAGATAATCCCACAACTACTGTGGTCAATAGTACAAGGAAATAGCGGCGACTGATTGAGAAGGTATGAGCGAAACTGGGTATGTTCGACCGTATTACGGTGCGGGGGCTCCATCACGGCTGGTGTTGCGGCCACGAATAACTTACCCTTACCTCTTGCGGCGGAAGCGAAAACGAAGTTCATCATCACTGTCAGAGTCGCGCTCCTCTCGAGACCGTTTCTGGCTTCGAGGGGCGGTTGGCTCCGACTCTGTCCGAGCAAGAGATTGAGACCGCGATTCTCCAGTGTCTTGCTCGATTGCAGAAGGTTCCCGGCGATTTTCCGTCTGAGTATTGTCAGCAGATTTGCTACTGCTAACCCAGTAGTGCTCGCCGATGCCAAAGGCCTTGCGTGTCACTTCTTCCAGCGGGACAATAACTGTTTGTATCCTATGGCGAGATCGGTTCCGATCGCCTTTTTTGCGGAACTTTTTGAAATTCTTCCGTCCATTCCATCGCTCATCCCACCGGCTGTCCTCATCCGCAATCTTTCGGACCGGCATCTCCATCTCTTCCACAATAGCGAGTCCTTTTAAATTTTCAATATCTCTAAGAGAGTTCTGGAGCTCAGCTTCTTCTTCCTCTCGGCGTTGACGTTGGGCATCCTCTTCTGCCTCTCGATGTTGCCGAGCAGCCTCGAGCACGTCTAACTTCTGACGTTTGGGTCGGTGCACTTCCTCCTTGAGGCGGGGTGTTGAATCATCCATGGTTCTTTGGACCGTCTCAGCGCGACGACGTTTCATCGCATTAGCTCCAGGAAGAAGTTGAGAGAGTACGTCTTCTTCCTCCTGCATATTAGTGCGCGGCTGTGTCTGTTGCCCTGACGAAGACCCCATATCCATAGCCGGCAACGAATCCACAACAACATCCTCGTCATCCGGAGGATGAGCAGGAATAGCATTAATGTCAAAACCATCATCAAAAGTTTTCATTTTACTGACAAAGCTGCGCACGCGCGGGCCTTTTGATTTCGACTTAGTCGGTTGACTATGTTCCTCAACTGCCTGGGAATCGACGATTTGAACATTTTCCACAGGTGTTACGGCAGGCTGTGATGTCGGCGTCGCGCTTACTTCCTGACTTGATGTGGGCTCTGGTGATGGTAGTGTGCGGCAGAGGGATGAGGCATCGTTTGCTAAAATTGCATCGAGAAATTCACTCTGTTCAATCACGCGCTGATTGGTTTGAAGCGCAACTTGATTGCTCAGCTCGATTGACCACTCTTCGTAGCCTCCCTTTGCACGGAATCGAACAAGAACAACCCCTCCGGGCCCATCTCTTTGACTCCCTAGACCTTTTTCACCGGCTGCATTCCTCATAAACTGTGCGATCTCGTCTGCTGTAGTTACCCCATTCTCAATATGATACAGCAAAGCCTTCCCGTGCCCATTGGCGATGGGATCATGCAGATTTTCGAATTGTGCGGCATCACCAAAGACAAACGTATAACCTTCGAATAGGTTAACGCGATCCGGGATAGGTGCGAATGCCTCGGCTGGTCTATGGACAAGTTCTTTGCCGGGCGGTGGAAGATGCTTAGTTGGATCTGGCCATGCAGAGTCGAAGTCGACCTCTAACGGGGACAATGACTCTAGGTTTTCTAGGTCACTCGGTGTCGCAGCGTAGACAAGCGCATTGATGTATGAGTTCGCAACAATGTATTTCCCATTCACCAGCGCCTGTAAGCCTTTTGCTGTGTTGCGTTTGCTCTGTACAACATGTGTTGTTTTGTCAACGATATATGGGATGATTGTTTTAATATCTAGATCTTCGAGACGTGAACGGACATGGGCTAGAGGATCTTTCGCTTTGAGCTCCTTAGACGAGAAGGAAAATGTAAGCACGGTAGGCTGCCATTTAATCCTAGTAAAAAGTCCCCATTAGCCGGTGTATGATGGTTTCTGAGGACACACTCACCGCAGCAAATGTTGGTATCTCCCCAACTTCATTGTATGCTCCTCACCGGTCAGATTGACACTCTCGCCCCGTATTTGGGTACCATCCACCACCGTTCCACATTTGGAGTTCTGGTCGATCACTGTGATTTCCGACTTCGCGTAGATTTGTGACTATGCAAGTCAGCGACCAAAAAGAAAGTATATCATCAATAACGAGCATTGTACCCCATCACCATCTTTAACGGGAGAAACTTCGATCACCATGTGCTTTCGTGATATCGAACTATGTTGTATGGCATGTCGGACTAAGAAAAGGTCAGCTAGTACAATTTATTCGAGCACGGGGAAAGGGAGAAATTACCGCCATCTTGTCTTATTCGACCAAAGAGATACTTCTGCCCTGGTCGTAACCAGACGCGCTTTCCTCGAAAATTGTTAGCTGACAACTGACAATTCGGCAGCATGAGCATCACATACTATCCAAGAGATCTCCATCAGAATCCAGGATCCACATGAGGGGCAGTGAGCTCTGATGCGATGCTCCTGATGTTGGAGTGCAGATGACATCGAACGCACGTGAAGGCATCACCCGCAACACGTGATCACGTGATCAGGCGTCTCAATGCTGCCTGCTTGGGAAAGATCGCGTCCCCCAGATTTCGTATGAATTATCGCGGCGGATCAATGTATGAAATATGGAACCACGGGGCGAGACGCCTTCAGACGAGGTGCCATCTACCTCAAAGGGAGTATCCAATGAATATGCGACATTGAAATATCAATTATTAGGTCCCTCGTTGACCAAAGCAGGTCAGGATGCGGTTGACCAGCAGAAGGTGAGCGCTACACTGGCTTCATGTATAGCGTAAGCGACCGCTGAGTGAACATCAAGGTATCGGAAATTATATACAACGCATCTAAAGGATCGAAGTTCTTTAATCATGAGCAAAACCGCGACCGGATCCTGACGGAAAAGATTGAGCGCATCTTGAAAGAGAAGACCCGTCTTGAAAATCTAGATTTGTCTTACGACCTACGGAGGGCGGATCAGCTTCTAGATGAGTTGGAACTTAGTCGGGACTTGTCGCAATACATCGTCCACGTCGACTGCGATGCTTTCTTTGCTGCAGTCGAAGAACTGGACCGGCCGGAATTGAAAACTGTCCCTTTTGCTGTGGGCAAAGGGGTCTTAACTACCTGTAATTACGAGGCTCGAAAGTTCGGCTGCCGAAGTGGGATGGCCTCATTTGTAGCCATGAAACTGTGCCCGCAGCTCATCTGCCTCCCTATAAACCACCAGAAGTACGGTGCCAAGGCACAGGAAATTCGGGCTATCTTCGCCCAATATGACCCACTCTTCGAAAGTGCTAGTATAGATGAGGCGTACTTAAATATAACCGCCTATTGCACCGAAAACCAAATCGATCCGGAGGATGCTGTCAATCGCATGCGAGCGGAGGTATTGGAGCAAACGAAAATCTCGGTGTCTGCTGGCATCGCAGCTAATGCAAAGATCGCCAAGATCGCATCCAACCGCAACAAACCAAACGGTCAGTTCCGTGTCCCTAACGATAGAGGCGCTATTATGGAATTCATGTACGATCTCCCCGTGCGAAAAGTCAACGGTGTTGGCCGAGTTTTTGAACGTGAGCTGGACGCAGTTGGGATTAAGACCTGCGGCGATATTTATCCTCAACGCGCACTGTTGTCCAAGCTGTTCGGTGAGAAGGCATTTCATTTTCTGGCTCAGTGCTACCTTGGGTTAGGGAGAACAAAGATTCAGCCGGTGGAAAACTATGAGCGAAAAAGTGTCGGCACTGAGAGCACTTTCAATGAAATGGGGGGTAAGGAAGCTCTCAGAGAAAAGCTCTGGGCGATTGCTCAGGAGCTCGAGAAAGACTTGACTCGGACTGAATTCAAGGGTCGCACGTTAGTGCTTAAAGTGAAGCTGGCCACATTCGAGGTTCTCTCCCGACAGTGTCAACCACCAAGAGCGGTGCTTCTGGCTAAAGACCTCTATACTTTCTCCCTCCCAATGCTAGAAAAGCTGGAGAAAGAGATCCCTAACATGAAATTGCGTCTGCTTGGCCTTCGCTGCACCAATTTGGTAAGCACTAAGAAAGGAGGGATCGACTTCTTCGGTTGGGCCACACGTTCCAAACCTACTGTTGACTCGAGTTCAGATGCAGCTGAACAAGAGATCAGTGCGGAAGAAGCATTTGAGAGAGCTGCTCGCCAGGAGATACAGGAGGACATGAACGACCTTGAGAAGCTCAGCCAGGAAGTATCTGAGCCCAACGCAGTTGATCAGTCTGAAAAAAACCCTGCCACCCCGTCTGAACCACAGCCTACGTATTGGGATTGCCCAGTTTGCTCAAAACCACAGGTTGCGGATGACCGAACATTCAATGAGCATGTCGATTTCTGTCTCTCAAAACAAACCATCAAGGAAGCCATACAAGGAGCTTCGCAAGATGCTGAGCCTATCCCACCAAAACCGCGGAAGAGGAAGAGCACGTCACAGGAGCCCGTTGACCCGCGCCAAAAGCGACTGTTCTTCACATGATGCGGTTATCTTCCAATGACCGAAGATACGTAACCCGAGCAACGCCATGATCTTTTGCTGGGCAATAGACACATTATGAGGTTCATTTATCCGTCCGGGCAAAAAAAAGAATCAACTTGTTTCCCATATCTCTTGGAGAAAGCCGTCTATCTATGGAGCACATTGGTCAGGCTCCACCTTTCATCGTGCCGTTAATGGCCATGGTTAAGATTGAAAAAGGAGTTTCCTGTAAGGCATTGTGCCGGCCACGATAAGGAAAACCTTGGAATATAGATCTCATGTGAAACCTGGCATGCTAGTTGTATATCCTCCTTGCATGGCTCGCCTCCAACACACTAACCGCCGATCCCGCACCATGGGCAATTTTTGTTGATGTGGAGCGGGCAAATATTATGTGTATATAAATTCTTGCCACGGAGAAGGCAAGAGAGGGAAAGAGAAAAGCTAAATAATAATGCCTTTAGAGCTTTTGTGCTCGCTAATGGGAAAGGGTGAACTTGGCAGATTTTTCTCGCCTTTGCCATCTGCCGATGTTGATCGGGATGGGCCGGTGCATCAGCATGCATGAGGGTGGACTGACGCCGAAAGGGAGGTTGGGGGGTTCTGAGACTGTATGTAATATTCGAGTCCAGATCTAATAGATCTTTTTCTTTTCCTTTTTTTTTTTTTTTTTTTTCCGATAGCATTCCAATGCTATTTTGCACCTGAGGAATTCCCCAGAATGTTTCACCTTATTGTCCCTCTTATCAATTTGACAAGTTCCTGGGGAATCCAGCTTTTTGATATGCTTTCCCGCCCTTGGAATGTAGTCCAGAGTAACAGGGAATCATTTTGCGGTGAAAAACGACACTAAACCTGATTCGGCGACATGTTTGGGTTAGTGTCGTTAGATTTGGTTTAGTTCGGCATCACTTCGACATCTGAACCGTTGTTGCGGTGTTGGCACAACAAAAATCACCTCCAAACTCACCACTTCCTCTTCCCCCCGTTTCCCGGTCCTCCGATGTTTTTTATGATCTCCTCTCACTAATAACGCAACCTCCGTCTGCTCTGTTAGTGCCCCAGCCAGCTCATACCTTTTTTCTTCCCTGGCTGGTGCCACCATGCTTGCAGATCTTCGTGGAGTACCGCAATGTCATGAGTCGCCCTCCTTTCCGCCCCTCGAGTCCCGTAACTATGACCTCCGATAAACAAACCACCAACGGCCCCGTCGCCAAACCCTTCACCCCCTCACTCAGTGCAGCTTTCAACCGATCCACCAAATCCCCTCTAACCCCAAAACTTGCCAACCCAGGGGGGTACCGCACTTCCAGACGATTGACCCCCTCCGAACACCCGGCCTCCGTCTCCAAGCCGGATTCCGAGTCGGTGTACCTCAGTGCCAACGTTACCCCTCGATCCGGTACTCGCACGAGTAGACGTGATGGACCGACATCTACTCCGAACACGCCCTCGAATGGACACTACTCGCCTTCTTACATATCAACTAGTGGCTCAACAGTAGGAAAGCGGACAGACCGGAGTCCTGTACGGTCAGGGGGCAAGGCTGAGCCTCCGAGAACCACCAGGGCTAAAACCTTGACAACGGAACCTCAGCGTTCACGACCGAGCTCCGTCTGTGGAGCACCCTCCAATACACCTAGGTTTTTCCACGCTTCCGATGCGCGATCGAATCCAGATGTTGATAACCGACCGAAGGCAGTGGCGAAACCATCACACCCCACTTTCGTATATGCTAATGGAGACCAAGAGGGCCCGTCAGAAGAGCTGAACACAGCGCCAGTGTACAAACGACGCTCGACCGGCCTAACTCGCTCTGTTGTTGGCTCCAAACCTCCGTCGGCATCCCCGCGATTGGCTTCCCCCAGGCTGAATGCCTCTTCTCCCCGACTGTCGGACGGAGTTGGTTCTCAGGCCGGCTCGCAGGTTGGCTCACAACTCAGTTCACAGCCTGGGCCACAATTTGGCTCTCAGTCTGGCACTCGATTTGACTTTGCTCCCCAGATAGTCTCGCACATGCCGAGCCCACCCATGAGTCACTTTTCCCCGAAACCAACGACGCCAGCTCCGAGACACATGAAATCATCCAGTGTCGATTCGGGACACGGTGCTACCTCTCCAAGAGAACCATTGCGGCCAAGTCCTATCATAATATCTCCTTCCGACATTAAAATTGACGCTAGCGCTGTTGCTTCCGAACCAATTCCAGGACTCCGACCACGAGTTTTTAGCAATGGATCCGCAGCCTCTGTAGAGACCCATGATTCTTCGCTACAGAGCCCAGCCAAGTCTGAATCGGGACAAGCCAAAGACGATGTGGCTATTAGTGCCCGCACGGAGCGCAAGATCCTTGATCTCGAAATCAGTAACTCGTCACTCCTCGCAATTAATCGCACGCTCGAACGCGAAATGCGGAAGCAAAATGCGGAGCTGCGAAGATATCGGCGTCTCAGCCGTGCGGGTCGCCTGTCCGTGGCACCCTCCAGCCGTTCCGTTTCCGGTGCTTCTTTGGGTATCATGGTCGAAGCGGACGAAAGTGATGAACATGAACACTCTTCCATCCAGTCACCGGAGGAAATGTCCGAGTTAAGCGACGAGGATTCTGTGATGGATGAGGGCGTTCTTAGTCCTGATTCCTTGGCTGAGCATGATGCGCGACATCGCGCCCAGGACGAGAAGAAGTTTTTCATCGACCTTGCTAAACATCAAGAGCTTTTGGCTGACAGCCAGAAAATGAACCAGAGTCTTAAACGCTGCCTTGGTTGGACAGAGGAGCTAATAAAGGAAGCCAAGAAAGCCCTTGAGTATTCTGTGCATGTAAATGACATTCAGCTCGGAGGGCGAGTCCTCGCACCAGAGGAAATAGCCGACCTCAGAGAAAGTGGCCGGGGTCTACTGAGAGCGAGTGATTCTCAGGACCTCTCATACCTACCGGAATTACCAGACTCAGAGCCAGACTCGGAGGCTGACGAGGCCACGGAGGCTGCCACAGAGACAGCCTAGACGGCACACTGTAACGTTGCCATTAACACCACAACAATCTTGTATTTCTTTTTCTTTTGTTCACCATACTCGGCGGCACGTCTACATGATATGGCCTTCTTCCCATTCCACTCAGCAGCTGTTTTGCATCGTGGCCAATGCTGGCATTGTCCGAGCGGGATACCCATCGTTCTCTCCCGTCATTTTCTTCTTTTCAATCTGATTTCCTCTGATCTCTGTAAGCGATAGATGGCCGGCTTTCCTCTTGGTAACCGTTGCTAGATACCCATACGCATAATGAGTTTGACATGTTCGAGTATATGGATTATGAAGGCACGATAAACAGACTAACTCTCTAGATATAACTAAATGACATTAATTTAACGATGATCTAGCCACAGACATACATAACTGACCGTGCGCGGAACGTAACCCTAACTTCATCACAGTAGGCAAGCAACTGAACATACAATAAAAAAAAAGGAAAAGACGAGCGCCGTTAAAAAACCTACGGTCGTAAAACTCACATAATACGGAGGGGAAAAAACCAGCCGCAGGAAAAAGGCAACTCATCACTAACAACATAACAAGGCATCTCTACCCCCTACCCCCAAGATAAACCAAACACCCCTTCGCCCTCTCCTCCATCTCCTCACCACCCCCAGGAGGGAGAAAAGAGGAGGAGGAAGAGGAGGAAGAGGAGGAAGAGGAGGAAGAGGAGGAAGAGGAGGAAGAGGAGGAAGAGGAGGAAGAGGAGGAAGAGGAGGAAGAGGA